AAATATTCTTTGCGATTTTATAATTAAATAACAAAAAATTTGATTGGTTTATTATATAATATCCGGGTATTAATCAAAAAATTTAACGATTGTGATTGAATTGTACCCTAGTATTACTCACAGGGGGGTACTTTGCAAGGGGGTACTATAGGCAGCGCTGTACGGTAGTACTAGTGAATGGGGACCCGGAGCAAGTGTAACAAACGTAACCAATCACGTATCGACTCAATTTTTGACATAGTTAATGTCGGCCAAACATAAATTTCGTTTTTTTTTTTTGCCTTTTAAAATTTAAATGGAAAACGAAATTTTCTCGTTTAATGTTCATTTGCCTATAGATATTAAAAGGTTTGGAGTTCCCGTAATTCTTGGCGATGGAAAAGAATTGGGAAATTGGAAAACCCCTAATATAAATCTTCATCAACCATTTCCTCAAAATCCGACATATTGGCAATCTGATCCAGTCATTATTTCGTTATCAAGTATTGAAAAAAAGAATGATATTCATTATAAAATTGCTGTTTATATATTTAAACCTTATCTTCGTGGAAGAGAAGAAAGAATTATATTCGAAGGAAATGGCTCACAAGACAAACGCTCATTGGATATTGCGAGAAATCACCAATTTTGCATATGGAAAAATAATGCTGAGGTTCATTTACATATTATAAACGACTTTGCTTTCGTAGATTATATTTATAATTCTATCAAAGGTAATAACCTTAAAGATAAAGTTATGGAGTACCAGCATTTATTAGATATTCACAATGACCTTACGATTCGCGCGTCAAATCTCAGTTTTATTGCCGAACATATTGATGATGGATCAAAAGAAAAACGACTTTTTTTAATGCCTTCTCTTAGGATATCATATTACAAGACAAGAGATTTATGGACATTATGAATTACCATATGCCTTTCCTTCCGGATTACTGCTTGATGCACTTGAGAACTATAAAAGAGAAATCTTACCTTCAGACGCCAAAGATCCAATGTACATCGCTGTAACAACTTTAGTCGAGCATAATGCATTTAAGATGCAATTTCATTGGCTTAGAATTTTTACAATTGCTGCGGAAGTAGATCCTAATTATACCTTCGTTGATCGTTTACAAGCTTTAAAATATTATAGTAACAATTTATTAGCAGTATTTATTAAAGGAGTTGCAGATATTGTTCTTAATATTGATGGCATTGATTTTGAAAATTACGTTAAATTGCCAAGGTAAAATTTTTTTTTTAAAAAATATTTTTTTTTTCCCAAAAATTATTATTAATATTTAATATTCTGTTATTATACAGTGGTTAATTCAATTATGTCATAACATGGACTCTCTATTTAGACTTTTGAGTGAGGTTCTTTTGCATGATAATAATGAATTGGACAAACAAATCTTCGTGTCGTTTATTGATCAAGTTAGGGAAAATGTTATTCATGACGATGCTTATTCTTTAGAGTCACATTTTAAAAAACTACACAAACGTTATCGGGATGACGTTTATATTGTCTTCCGGAATCACGCTTTATTTTTACTCGGAAGCCCAGTTAGAAATTGGATCAATCAGAATGTTTTGGCTATACGGAGACTTCTTCAGAATGATGATCTTAACTGGCGTAGTGATGACAAAATACAATCATTAGAGTTGATATCACAATCTCATAGTTTGGAATTATTAAATATATTTCCGGAACTTTTGGATGATTGGCTTCGCAGTGATTTTTCTGATACCAAAATGAAAATGCTACCAAGTATTTGCGTAAATTGGTTTACACTTCTTTTAACCAAGCTTGGGACAAATGATACAAATACTTCAAATGAAGGTAACTTTATTTATGCAGTATTTGAACGATTAGAACGCATGTATCCTTTGCTTGGTAAAAGGATCAATGTTTGGCGAAATTTGACAGAAATTGCTATAGAAAGAGTAAAGGGATGTTCCGAACTTCGAATTTATGCTGCGACAAAATTTATAGTGAGAATAAAACAAGATGGTGTCAAAAAATTATTTTTAGATATGGTAAAAGAAATATTAAATAAGAACGTTCAACAAATTAATGATCAGTTACTAAATAAAATATTTATAATATGCGATTGCAAAGGAAAATCTCTTGAAATTCCGAATTCGTAAGTCCTTTTCAAAGATTGCCGTAATCAATTTATTTTTCATAAATAATTTTTTTTAATTTTATGTTAAATATTGATAGGATGAGTGAAGATCTTTTGTACCATATAATGACTAGATTACAAGGTCAATCGACAACATCTAGCCATTCGGAGTATTATTTAACTACTTTAAAAACAACTAGATTTTGGAATATTATATTACGCGCTAGCGGGAGTGTCTCAAAACTTAATGCAAATTCATTTGTCAAAAATACTAAAATTTCTATCAACGAACTCGGGGGATTACTTTTCGAAAAAATGATTGATATAAAATTGTTACAACGAATTTTAGAATATCCTGATGATAAATTATTTCAACATTTCGATGCAGCTGTTGCCAGAAAGAAATCTTTAGGTGATGTGATCGTCTCTCGAGAAGAAATTGCTAAACTTAGAAAACTTTGTAAGGATTATCAACAACATCTCGATATACTTTTCAAATTTTATAGCGGATTTTGTTCGTCTATTCAAGTAATAAATGTGAATTATTTCATTTTGGATATACAACAACATATGCAAAATTCACATAAAGTTAAGTTGAAACAAGTATTAACATCTGATTACTGGACTTTCCATGAGAAAACGTTTGAAAGTGCAAGACGTTGCTACAAATATAACAATTCCCAAACATTCAGGAATATCTTTGAAATTTGTCTCCGGGAAGATGCTACTGCAACAAATGTAGAATATATAGCTCAAAAATTGATGCCAGCTGTTTTTGACAGATATCTCACCATGTGTAAACAGTTTAAGGAATGGGAAAAACTCAAATGTTCAGATGCATCTTTGTTTTGGAATGTTACGAATGTTAATGCTGAACTCAATTTAATGTATGGTTATGAATCCCATAAAAGCCAAATATTTGTACAAACTCTTGATCATCTTTCAAAAATTCCTCACTGGATTGAGCGACTAGAACAATTAGAAAAAATTGTAGAAATTTTCCAAATACCTCATAATGAAGACGATTGGTTGTCGAAATCAATTCGTATTTTAAAAAATGACTCTATGGAGCTTGGTCAAATAAACAATTTCTTTGATTACCTTGATAGAAATCTTTCCAACGTTAATAATGATTGTTGGAAATTAATAAGAGAATTATCAAGTGCTGATGATTTTATGGATTTCTTAAGGAAGATTGCCCAACATAATATTAAAAATTTGTGTGCTGAAGATTGGTTAGATAATATGGTCTCGTCGTTTATTCAGGTCAACATAGTTCTATTTCCTCTTATGGATAAGAACAAAATGGAAACCATTTCCGATTTTTTGGAAGCGTTACTACATGTTATTAAGAAGGATTCAACTTTAGGAGAAAAGGTTGCATTATGTAATAATATCATGTACATTTCAAATCCTGGCGAAGTTACTAAGAAAGAACTTAAGAATGCAGTAACTAATGGAACTTATACTTTTACACGTGATCAAAATGACAACGTCTGTATAGTCACATTAAAAAATCCCAATAAAACCAACGGGATATTTAACATAAATGAGATTTTAGGTTTACGTGGATTAGCTCTTGTAATAGCTAAACCAAAAACAACAGTTAACAATATAATAAATGAAGTTGTAGAAATATCGGAGAAAGTTATCAATGATTTTGTTTATCAAGTGGATATTGCGCAAGAAATAATTAGCGTAGTTTCTGCGTTGATCCAAATGGGGCATTTTGGCTATAGAATGTTTGAAATAAATTTACATGGAACAGAGAACATGGAAGATTGCCTTATATGTTTAAAGGATGAACTGGACAACTGGTAAAAATTTATTTATTTATTTACTTTTTAAAAATTTTTAACGAGTTATATTTACAACTTTATAGGCAAAGTATGGTAAATAGTGCACAAGAAAAATGTTATTATTTAACATTCTTTCATGCTCGTCACATCTTAACATTCTACGACTATTACACATCAGAAAAATTAGATAAGGAAAACGAAGAAGAATGCAGAACATTGGTTAGATATGTAAATAGTAATGCTCAATTGCCACTCCGCAAGGATGTTCAAGGAATTTCATTTGGATCTGAAAATTATCCTGAAATTCTTTGCGAAATCGGTGACGAATTGCAAAGAAGTTTTAGAAATATTCCTAAACAAACGCGTAAATTCAAATTTACTCAACATAGCGATATGTCTGATATCGATGATAAAAGCAAATTATTCATTGCTGTTTACACCGATAAAACGCGAATTTCCAATATTATCCTGTCATTATACGCGAATTATGGATCTTATCCCGAGTCATGGCAATTCTTGATATGTAATTCTTCAACTACAATAGAGGAACTCACAATTTTTATTAAAAGAAGCTTTTTTGCTGCAAATAATGGATATGAAAATCACTTATTCTGTATCGCAAATTTAGAATTATTAGATTTTGAATTGCAATACAATTTAGTAGTTTATCTTATTATTCATTAGCACTTCTATGTTGGGAGTCCGAAATGACAAACTATATTTAGATCAATATTGTTTAGAAGTACAAGAGATTAAAGTTTTGGATACCGAAATAATGCAAGAAATCTATCAGGAATTGTGTCCAAATGTTATATGTGTTTCTTCTGATTTATCTGGTCAAGGGAAAACGGAATGGATTAAAGAGGCCAGTTGTTTAAAACAAAAAATTCCGTATAATTTCCTAATCAGCGATGACATGGATCTAAAATATCTCGTAAATAAGCTTAAAGAATGCAAACTCAAACATATTCAAAGTCTTCATATTAATATTTTGTCTGTTAATCACACTGAAGACGTGAATTTATTTTTATTTGAATTGCTCACGTTTAGGACAATTTCACATAATAATATTGTAGTTTCAATTCCCGAAACTTTCATTTATATCGAAATTGCTTCATCACTCAAGCAACAATTGCTCGATCGTCTTCTTATTTTGAGATATTTACCATTTAAACATTTATCTTGGAACATCGAAAACTTTAGAGTATCTCAAGAAATTACAAGTCCGATTCAGGTAGTATGTCACTATTTGAATTTGTATGATCTTGGGGAAATTAATACAAAGGAGATTTTGGTTCATACATCAAAGGCTTCTTTATCTACAGAAAGTTGTCAAAATCTTATTACGAAATATTTTTTGAGCTCAGATAACAAAAATATTTTTTCATTTAGATATATAGAAATCTTCATTAATGTTCTTGCAGATCAACTAATTAGATTATCAGGAAGTCATTATTTTCCAATTAATAACCTTAAATTCAAATATATATCTAATATCAGATCAACTATACTTAAATCATTAATAGACGTTTCAAAAGATTTTACAATTAAATCTATCAAGACAAAGAAATCTCAATTAGAATCTATTACTAATGAAAATAAAAATCTCTATTATGAAACAAATCTTGATTGAATTGGTCAATGGGATGATTCATACAATATTTTAATATTTTTTAATTCTCAACCTCCAGGTACAATTTCAGTTTTATATCGTGACGAATTAAGAGTCCCCAGTAATTTTAGGGATTTCTTAAAAAGTCAAATAATCGGCAATCCAACAAATTTGGAAATAGATGATTATAATACAACGTCTGCAAATGCACTCGGTGTAAAATTAGAATGTTTGGCACGAAAATCGACAAAAACTTTAGAACTTCCTGAATATGCTTTATCTAGTGATAATTTAATAAAGATGGCTCTAATTCTTTTAAGAGTACGTGCAAATATTCCAGTCATAGTTTGTGGTGAAGCAGGATGTGGCAAGGTAAAAAATTTTGGACTTTTTTTAAATTGGTATCTTTTTTCTGAAATTTCATTTCTTTCTTTTTAGACAAGTTTAATTACCTATTTAGCCTTGATGACTGAAGTTAAATTTCAAACCCTAAAATTTCATGCTGGAACTGATGAAAAAACTATCAATAGATTTATGTCGGATGCTTTAAGGGAGGCACAGAAAGGCGAAATTTGGATATTATTTGATGAAATTAACACGTGCAATCATTTAGGTTTACTTGCAGACTTAATATCTAATAGGGTATTTCGAGGTTCATCTTTACATCCAAATATTCGTTTATTCTCTACCTGTAATCCATATCGTCTTCGTTTAACAGCTGAGGTTAAAAAATATGAGGAAAAAAGTAATCTTATTTATCAAGTCAAACCTCTTCCTGATCAAATTTTGGACTATGTATGGGACTATGGTATTCTTAAATCAAATGATGAATACAAATATATTCAAATTATGGCTGAAAAAGAATTATCAAAACTGGCACATCCAGTATTTACTGAGCTCTTATTTGCTTCTCAGAAATTCATTCGTAAGGTTGAGGAACCATATAGTGTTAGCTTGCGTGATATCAAGCGAGCCATAAAATTGGTAAAATTCTTTTATAATTCTTTTGAGGATCATTCAACAGTGAGAAAAGGATATCCACCACCAGGAAATCCCACCACAATAGTTAGATCTTATGTTTTGGCCATAAGTCTTTGTTACCATTCTCGATTATACGAACGAGACCTGCGCAAGAAATATCGTCATGAAATGGAGAAAATACTACAAAATCATGATGTGTATGAAGGAGAAAATATGATTGTTAAAATTATCCGCGAAGAACAGGAAGATTATTTGAATAGAATGCAATGTCTACATAATGCAGCGAGGAATGAAGCCTTATTAGAAAATGTTTTTGCTATGATTGTATGTATTTTGACCAAAATTCCCGTACTTGTTATTGGAGAATCAGGGTACGTAAAAAAAAATTTATGAATAAATGGTAATAAATTGTTATACTAAAATTTTGTTAATTCTTTAAAATAACAGATCATCTAAATCGTTAGCAATTCACCTTATAAGTTTGAATTTACGCGGAAATGATTCTAATGATGAATACTTTAGATCTTTACCACAAGTCTATTTGATTCCATATCAGGTCTCTTTATCTTCAACATCTGATGGTATAATGAAAGTGTTTGATAAAGCTAATAAGTGTCAGGAAATAATTTCCAAACAATTTCCTGTGATTAGTGTTGTTTTACTTAAAAATGGTAATTACATTCACTGATTTCTTTTGCTATATTCATTCTGTTCATAATTAACCGATTTATATTTAGCCGATTTTGCTGAAACTAGTCCTTTCAATCCGTTAAAAATTCTTCATTCTTTGTTCGAATCAAATCCGGCAACAGAACCCACCGTGTCAGCAATTGGAACGTCGAATTGGCGCCTGGATATTAGTAAAAGTAGTCGTGCATTACTTGTTCAAAGGTATGGTATACATGTATATCATTACTCTGTAATTAATAATTTTCTTACATTAAATTTATCAAATTTGTTTTTACATTTTAGACCACAATTTGATTCAGTTGATTTAGTTGATACCACTGAACATTTATTAAATACTAATCCTGATCAAAAAGACATTTTAGAATCTTTAGTTGAATCATATTTTGGTTTTCAAGTATTTTTGGCAAATTTTCATGGTCTTCGAGATTTTTACGCATTAGTTAAACATATATCATTGGCCGAAATGACACCAAAAAATATTCAACTAGCATTTGCTCGTAATTTTAGAGGAACAGGAAGTAATGTAAAATTATACGATGAATTCTTTAGAGAAGTTCTCAAAAAATTTAATAATCACAATTCATGGCTCTATAAACCAATTCCAATTGAGCAATTAATCGATTCTAATTTAGATGATCTTGGAGCGCGTCATTTAATGGTTATCGGTGAAAGTGATTCGATTATAAATCTATTAACCTATCAATTAAGGAGGAGAAATTTGGATCCCGTTGTAATTATAGGATCACAATTCCCCGATGATCAGGATGATTATTATTACAAGATTTTGAATCGAATAATGGTGATATGATATTGTTTAGTGAAATATTTAAATTATCCTATTCTGAATATTATCATTTATTATTAGAAGTGTGTTGTGGCAGGCAGACCATTGATTTTAACGGATTTGGAAATTATTTATGGTATTTATTAAGATGCTGACAGAACTATTACTAAATTATAATTATATTAATAATTATATTTATATTAATTAGGAAGTCTTTATGATTTATGGAATCAAAATTATATTGTAATGGGTACTAAAGAGAATTCCAAATATTTCATCCGAGTTACATTCGGAGAATATGCTAATCCTATGCTGTATGTAAAATATTTATCTATATAACTTGTTTATTAGGTATCAATTTTTAAATTAACGTTATGTAATATTCTGATAGTTATGTTCCACCAAACTTTAAATGCATTCTTATCATGGATGAAAAGAATTTGGCTTCAGTTGACCCTTCGCTAATTGGTCGATTTGAAAAACAATACATGTCAATCAATGACGCACTTAATGACGAACAAAAACTACTGGTAGAAAATTTATGTACCTGGGCGCTAAAAATATCAACTTTAATTGGATTTAATCAAATAACTTCATTAAATGATAAGTTCGCACAGAATGATCGATCTATTGGCTTCTATACAGATGATGTTATAAAAGGTTTGGTGCTTGAGGTTACAAGAAGTAATCCAAAAGCCGAAAATGAAAAGATTTTAGAAATATGCAAGGAACGTTTAATAACATTGATATCGCCTGATGGGATTTTAAGAGCCGAAAATTCAATTTTAGATCGAGATGAAATTATTAGATTAAAGCATCGACAATATCATGATAGTCTTTATAATTTTTTTGACGCTTTATTTAAACGAGAAAAATCAATAGCAAATTCCGAAAGGCCTTTACTCATTATTAACACATTCTCTAATATTAATACTGACATTAAACGTTGCTTGCAAGATCTTTTAAGTTGTCAATTGTATAATTTTTCAACATTTAGAACCGAAGCTCAACTTTCAACTCGGGTAAAAAATTTCTTTCTTGAATCAACTGACCAAGTATAGATCCTCCAATGCGATGTTACTACTATTAATGCTAAATGTATCAAGTTAACAAAGCACATTATTGAGGAATTTACAAATCAATATCTGTTCGAAAAAGAAGAAAATTTTGAAACGAATATACCTACAAAATATGCATGTATAATATTTCATATCCAACGAGGTTATGAAACAAATTTAATATTGCCTAATTTCTTATGTGGTTGGAAGCAAATTATTATCGAATCTTTGGAGACACAAAAGGATAAATCAAAATCTAAATCCGAAATTTTTGACAGAATGGACAATTCAGAAATAACGTTTGAAATGATTCTAGAAGATGAATTATTATGGTGTTTATCATGCATACATTATAACCAATTTAATGAAAGTTATATCAGGTATGATAATTTTAACTAAAATTACATTTTTAAATGATCTATATTTTAATCCTCCTAATTTTATCTATAGTAATTTAAGTAAAGGGATTTTAAATAATTCGAAATTTATACAATGCTTAAAAACAAAAACCTTTGAATGGATTCTAGAGAATTGTACATATTTGAAATATGAAATAGCTTTAAACAAGAAAATTTTATCAAATTTTAAGATAATTTTTAAACAAACAATTGCAAAAATTTTATATACACTTGAAAAATTATCAACAACAATCACGTTTTTCAATATTGAAAATAGTGAATCCGAAGTGAAAAACGAATTATCTGATTTATGGAAGCAATTATTGATGGATAAAACCATTATCAACATTAATAATTTACCCGAACCAAAACCTTCTGTATAATGTATCAAATATTCCGGTTGAAATATCTTTTATTAAATCGATTAAATTGATTCATGCACAAGAGAATCATTTCATCGATTATGAATTGAATGATAATATTTTAAATTATAGTCAAAGGAATCGGAAAATAGAAAGTGATACAAACTTTATATTTGATTTAAAAAAGATTGAAAAGAAACTTGTTAAAAGATTGGTTCTTGGCAAAGCTCATTTTGAAATGGAAGATGAAGGATTTTTTTTAAGAAATTTTACGTTTAAACATGAATCATTTCATAATTCTTTAAGGATTCTCTTTGATGTAAAAAATATATTACCACAAGAATCCATTCCAGAAGATAAAAGGGTATCGATTTTGGCGATGTTTCTGCCATCAAATTCATCGTTTATCTTGAGGAATTCATTAAATTTATCAGAATTACACTATTTTTTAAATGTAATTCTATGTTTCATCAAAGAAATTTCAATCAAAAATAGTGACATCCTTATTGTGGATTTTGTTAATCAATGGTTAAAATTAGCAAGATATGATATAACATATATAAATATTTTTAACGAATTTTCTTTGAAATATATTGTAGCATTATATGAATTAATTGAGGAGCAAGTCGCTAATTTAGTCATTCATAATATTGATAATAAATTTAAAGTTTCATTAACGCAACCGATGAAGGATTCAATCAATGATTTCGTGAGTTACTACTCTGATCGAATCAACTACTTATACCTGCTGAAGCTTTCACTCTCGCCTTAAAAAGATTTATTTATAGATTTTTATTGGTTGAATCTAATATGGGAGACTTAAATTTAAACATATATTTCTTAGATTTTACTTTGAATTTGTGGATTGGTGATATCAACCAAGAATTGGTCAAGAGTTTGTTTCCTGCTTCTTTATTGGTATCTCATGCCTATAATAGTTACATCTTTATTGTTAATCTCATATCTGTTTTAGGAACAAGAACTTTCTGAATATAATCTTGTGGTTTTAATGGGAAAGATGGAAAAGAATTGATTGGTGTAAGAATGTGAGGATTTAGTAATAATTCAATTAAAATATTTGTAATTAAAACAACTCCTTTCATCCCATAATATCCTGGCTAATTTTATATGAATTTTAGTCAGTATACTTTTAATTCAGATATATTATCAAAGAATTCATCATTTATATGATCATTTATTTGATTTATAAAATATTTTGATTCATTTTTATTTTTAAAAAAATATTGAAAAATAATAAGTGAAAAAGATCAAAATTTGTAATTTAAAATATTGTATAAAAAGATTTATATTTATACAAATTTGAAAATCTTTTAAATATATGTATTACATTATAAAGAAAAAAAAAGTATATAGTAACACAGATAATTAGAATTATAAATTATTCTATATTATTAAAAAATTTAACATTCCCAAGTATATAAAATTAATAAATAGTATTCTATAAAATCCCAGTAATAAAATTGAACCTGCAATATCAATAAAAGGTGTTATAATAGTTTCAGAATAATATATTTAAAAAGCAATTTGAAAAAAATATATTTTAAAAAAGTTATATAATCAAAAAAATTATTCTATAGATATACATTTAAAGAGTTTTTAAAAACTTTTTAAGCTTTAATTGTGGTAAAGTAATCAAGCACATTCTTAAAAAGAGAGTAAAAGAAAGAAAAAAGGATTTTATTGGCCTGGTTAGTTTAAAATGCATTGGAATTATCATTAATATTTATTATATATTTAAGAATCCTTGTGTTAAAAAAATTATTTCAACATAAATATCTTTTTTTCAGAATTCTTTCAGTTATTCTTCAGGTAAAGAACAATTAACTATAAGCTTTATCAAATATGTTATTTTTTAAAAGATTTATAAAATTTATAATAGTGACAAACTTATAATATTAATACTAAATTGAATTAAATTTAAGAACATTATTTGTTTAATAAGTTTAATAATACTTTATTTTTTTAAAAAAAAAATCGTTTAATATTTATTTTTAATATAAAAAAAATTATGTAAAAGATTTTATAAATTTAAAAGCAAAATTGCCTGTTTTTCAAATAAGATCCACTAAAAGTAATAAGAGTGTTTGAGTTTTTTTTGTTGATAAATTAATAGTCATAAACTCAGCAAATAATCGTATAAAATAACCTTAAAAAAGAATAATAAAATTACATAGCTTGCTTATTAACAAAGTAAAAAAGCGTAAAATTTCATATGAAAATCACTTGGTAAAATAATCAGTATGATATATAATACTATTTGCTACTCAAAATTGGAGAAATGCATTGCTAAAGATGATAATCTTTATGAATATATTGTAATATACCACTATTATAATATACGTTGCAATATAGTTGCAATATTTGAAAAAATTTATTAATTTGTTGCAACATGTATTAATTTGTTGATTGATTGCAACATTTATTTGATTGGAAAAATATCGTTTCATCTAAAGATGGGAACTGTAATTAATATGTTGCAACTTTTAATGTTGCAACTTACGTTGCAATTAGTTTTAACCTAT